ATGTCCGAAATATTCTAATTTTCGTTTTTTAATTGTTTTGATGATTTCCCTTGGCTTTCCCAGGCAGCTTATCACCTCCTCATTTCTGATCTTGTCAACCCAGCTTATACGTAACAGCCGCCTGTAAATCCACATTTCAAATGCTTCTAGTCTCTTCAGGTGGCCTTCTGTCAGAGACCAACTCTCTATTCCATAGAACAGGATAGAAAAAAATATAGCATCTGACAAGCCTGATTTTCAGTCTTAGGCTTATGTCGTGACTGCAGAAGACCTTTTTCATTTTGAAGAATGCTGTTTGAGCTTTTTCTATCCTTGTCTTTACTTCAACGGTCATGTCCCAGCTTTCATGTAAATTAGAACCAAGGTGCGTGATCCTTTCAACTTTTTCTAGTGGTATTCCTTCTGAATTTATTGGTGGTAAATTAACGGGTTGTTTGCTGATGACCATGATCTTGGTTTTTGAGGTGTTAAGCTTCAAGCCATATTTTTCAGCTATTTCTGTGACTCTGTTGATGAGGAGCTGAAGGCCTTTGGATATTTTATTTTTTAAATCATGGTAGCTAATGAAGGGCTAGAATTATTTTCTTCCTAAAGCTTTATGTATTTATCTAATATTTTTATGTTTGTGCACTTTAATGTTCATTAACAGAATTTACATAAAGAATATTCTGAGAAATAAAAGTGAATGAATATACAACAGCATTTTTAAACATAGAGAACAATTAAATACAATACAAATATCAGAAAGGAGGGAGGGAAAAAAAACTAGCAGTTAAATCCAAGAGCATCCATGGGTTAACTTAGCTATGATGTCATTTCTTATTGAAAAGCTGGGTAGCAATCTACTGCCCCACAGAAATCATGTCTGTTGGGAAAGGGTTTGATGACATTGCACAATGTATGCAGAAACAAAACCACAAAAATCCCACAATTACATTATACTTTCCAAACTGGCATGTTGTAATGGATTAATAACACGCTCTGATTAATCCATTGGTGAAACTGACAATGCTGTATTTGGATCAGGACGCAGAATAATTAATAATTTCCCACTGAGAGAAAAAAGTAATCAGTATCCAATTGCAACTGTTTGTGTTGGTGGCCATGAGCTTGGTATCCTTCATTAGAATCATAAATTATAGAGCTGAAAGGAACCTTGGCGGTCTTCTAATCCAGGGGTCCCCAACATTTAGGGCTTGGCGGCCCGTCAGGGGGGGATAGAGGAGAACTGGCCCATGCAAGCAGTGGGCTAGTGTGTTCGTGCATGCGCCGGCCTGCCACTCATGTGAGTTAAGCTGCACACACGCTAGCCCGCCACTCATACAAGTAATACAAGCTTTCATGTGTCCCCTAAGCCTTCACTTCATTAGTCTAAGCACACCTAGTTCCCTTAGCTATTTAACCTGCAGACCACTTATCATCTTTGTTGCTCTTCTTTGCATTTTTTTCTAGGATCTCAACATCTTTTTTGTAACGTGGAAACCAGGCATGTGGACACAGTATTTGAAATATGGCCTCATTAGTGCAATGAGCAGTACTATCACTTCCTGTGATCTTGATGTTATTACCCTGTTGATGAAGCCTAGGACTGCATTGGCTTTTTTTTTAGCAGTGCAGCATACTGCTGACTCACACTTGAGTGATGGTCCACTAGGTAGGACACCTCAATGCCTCTCATAAGCACTACTATTGAGCCAGGTACTGACTATCATGTACTTGTATATTTGGTTTTTCCTGCCTAATTGCAGGACCTTACCCTTTTCACCACTGAACTGCATCCTATTGGATAGGTCCAATGCTTAAGTCTATCAAGATCCTTCTGAATCTTGAGTCTACTTTTCAGAGTGTTTGCAATTCCCTCCAGCTTGGTGTCATGCACAAATTTGATGAGTGCCCCTTCAATCCCCTCATCTAAGTTATTTGTGAAGATGTTGAAGAGCATTGTGCCCAACCTTGAGGTATCCCTCTGCATATTTTCCTCCACATAGATCTAGTTCCATTGAGGATTACACACTGAGTATTGTTGATCAGCCAACTGCAAATCCATTTGGTGGTGGTACTGTCTATCTCACATTATTCTATCTTATTAAGAAGTAGGTTGTGGTCTTCTTTATCAAATGCCATACTAACCCAAAGATGCTTTTTTCACATCTATAGCATTCCCCCCCCTTTTAATTGAATGTTAGTTTAGAGGAGAATCAAGCAGATAAATCAGAATTTATAACAATCAGTCTTTCCTGTTAAAATAATTGCCATATTCATTATTTCACACTGTGTGTTTATGGTCTCTGAAACTCTGGAGGGAGTAAAACCAGTCTTACTGACATATCCAAAGAACCTTGTCATTAATATCTAATCTTGCACTGAAGTATTCTGCTAAAATCCATTTATCATTAGGGAATTAATGTAGCAGCTCAGTTAGATCCTTGTTGTCACTGATTTGGGATAGCAATCCACATGCAGGAAAATAAGCATTCATTAATTTAAAAAAAAACTGATTCTTTATCTGCTAGTTAATAGCAATAGCCACTTGGGCACAGATTACAAGAATAAAAGCGGTTGAGCATAATTTGACAGAAAATAAGATGGTGTGATAGAACATCTAACAGAGCCTGGGGACAAGAAGGAGGGAGCAAGACTGTTCTAGGAGGAATAAAACCAGTACAGAAAAGATTCTTTGGTTCAGGAGAGGAGGGAATTGTGAGAAAAAGACTTAGAATAACTCTGCCTTACTTACACTTAATATAAGTTGATCTGGAGAACTGCTTTGCCAGGGTTTCAAGTTTCTGTTACATTCCCCTACTAGTAATAAAGATCATCCAGAAATCTAAGTGGTTCTCGTTTCCTGAATTCGCCAGCCTCACAGGGCTTGACCTTAATATTGAAAGCCTCCAAAGCAGTGGTTCTCAACCTGTGGGTCGGGACCCCATTTGGGGTCGATCGACCATTTCACGGGGGTCGCCAAGCAAGGCTGTCTGCCATTTTTTTGTCCGCCATTTTTTTTGTCCGCCATTTTTTTTCCCTTTTCCGGCGGGTGCCTTACCTCCCTTGGGCTGGGCCAGCTGGTGGTCGGCCTGCTCCGTCTCTGCCGCTTGCCAGCTACGCCTCGGCCAGCGCAGGGGGTGGAACCACACGTGTGGCGCTCCCGGGCAGGGAAAGTCCTTGACTTATGACCGGTTGGGTAGTCCTCGACTTACGACCGGTTTAGTCCTCGACTTACGACCGGTTTAGTCCTCGACTTACGACCGGTTTAGTCCTCGACTTACGACCGGTTGGGGTCACGGAATTAAAAAGGTTGAGAACCACTGCTCCAAAGTAACAAGACAATTATTTTTCAAAGACAATTATTTTGTGTCTTACACTTTCAGACAATAGGTCTTGGACATCTTCATACTCAAAAGAGTTTTATTATAACCCTCTTAATAATAATTCTTTCAATCATTCCTTATGGGGCTTAGTTTACAGCCCCATTATCATCATTATTTTCCTCTGAACCTCTTACAATTTCTCTGAATCTTTCTTGAAACGTAATGACTGGACACATTACTTGATATGGGCTATGACCAATGAAACAATGATACAACTATTACTTTCAATTACGTGGA